TGTGGTAATTTTTTGTTTAACTTTGTGTCCAAGTCAACTTTTTTTAAAAATTTTGATTTGATTTCTTTTATTTATAGTAAGAATTAAAATAATTTATTTCTTGGTTCCAATCTCATATTAGTTTTAATTTTAAGTTATTTTATTTCCCCTTTAATTACTCTAATTTTTAATATAAATATCCACTAACTTTTGTACAGAAGATGGAGGTGGGTGTTGAATATCACACGTTTTATTCACTAACACAAAAACGTTTTCATTCACTACTCATACAAGCCCTAATATTCACAATGTCACCGTATATTCACACTTTCATTCACATATTACACATACAAATTTTTCCACAAAAAAATGTATTTTTTTTCTTGTATGAAAAACTCCTTTTTTATTGAGTCAAATTTTCACATTACACACGGTACAAAATTTTAACACTCGGTCACCATAATCCTCTCTTTAAAACATGTAAAAATAAAAACCTGTAAATACAATAATGTTTGTCTATTTTTTTCGATTCATTGCTTACTTCCATTTTGTTTTGTTGTTAAGAAGAGATGAGGGTGAAACTTGATTGCAAAGAGAAGGCTTTTCATCTGTGATTTTATTTGAGAGAAAAATTGAAAAAGGGCATAAAAGAAGAGATGAAGAACTGATATGAAAATGTAGATTTTTTTTGTACATATCAATATTTTCACTCTTCGTTTTTTGTTTTTTGTTATTATTATTCAATGGCCCATGTGTCATGTGATTATTGAACCTTAATTTTAGTTTGAATTAGTCAACAAAATTTTTGCTTTCTCTTTTATATTCATTCTTCTAATAAAACACAAAAAACTTTAAAAAGGTGCATGAGGAATTATAGGGGAGTTAAGTTTTTTTTCTCTTTATTTTTATTGTATTATTTTCTTTATTATTTATTTATCTTATCTATTCTATTTAGTTAGGATGTAGAATTATAGTTTAGATGCTCAATTTAAATTATTATTAAAATAGAAGAAATATACAAAAAAAAAATATATTCTCTTGTATATAACATTATTGATTACTAATTTTGTACATATTTAAATATTTTTTAAATTAAATTAATTTAAATATTTTTATAAATAATAAGATATACATACTCGAGTAATTAAGTGGTTGACTCAACTCTTTATCTATTAATTATTCACATCAAAATCTCTAAAATTCACAAACAAATCAAAATCAATTTCTTCGTCCCGCTCGATTTAATTATGATAAAGATTAACTCTTTATCAACCAAAATCAATTTCTTCACCCAACACGATTTAATTCTAATAAAGATTAATTTTTCTTCAACACATAAAAACCTAATTAAAACAATTAACCATCCATCAAAAATATTTTTCTACTAACATAATCAAACTTGAGATATTTTTTCAAACAAAGAATCGCCCGATTTCTTTCTACTTGGATATGAAAACTTCGCCTACCACCACTCAATTTTTAAAATCAGACAAGTTCAAAACCATTCGAAAGCAACTTAATACGACACTATGAACTATGAAGGACTCTGATTTTTTCTTAAGAGGATACGTAGGCACACAGTTGAAAAACCAAGGCAAGTCTAATAACTTAAAAAATATATTTTTCTCTATTTCTTTCCTTACATGATAATATAATAAATAAAGAAATATCACCAATAAGTCTCAGGTCTAAAAAGGATCCTCTTAAGTCTAAGGGAGGTAAAGGGTGCCTAAACATTCCCTTTATCTAATTTGAAATTCTGCTAGTCAGATCTCAGATGTCCTAAGAGATGTCAAGACACTGATCTCTGAACAACAACACAATGAATAAGGTAAAACAACAATTAAAACAATGCAGAAACTAAACAACACATAAAATTATTAACCCAGTTCTGTGTACAACAACACCTACTCTAGGGGCTACCAAGCCAGGAAGGAAATCTACTAAATAGTATCAACTCGAAGTTAAACTCCCATGTTTACAACTTCTCACTTAATCACTACCCATATTATATTTATACCTAAGACCCACTTAGGTATGAGACCCCTCTCACTTCCCTGACAGTCACAAACAGTGACAAGAACACAATTTAAACAAATTAGAAGACAAACTTCACAAACACACAATCACTATATACTTAAAAGCTTAAGATTGATTGACACTCAACAAGTAGACACACTTCAATAAACAGAATTCGCTCTTGCTTAAAATCTTATGATTGATTCACAATTTCAACTCAACTAATAGTTCAACTCAAGTAACAACCAATACAAGAGTGGCTCACAACAATAAACAGGCGAAGCCCTAAAGATTATTACTTGGAAAACTTTGGATTGTGTTTTCTTTAGGTATTGAGACTTCCTATTTATAACCTTTTCTTGGGATGGATTAGGCTTTAAAACCGCAACAAATCAGTTGCTACAAATTAACATAAACTTCTGCACAAAGTCTGCAAAAACTTCTCCATGAAAATAGGTCTTCAATCATAATTTTTCTAAAACATCTCAACATTTAGAAAATTTGGATAACTTGAATACCAACATATATCTTTGATTTCTCAGTTTTGGATTCCACATATGATTACTAAATATTCCCAAAATATTTAACATTTGTAACACATTAACAGAATCTAAAAGTCTAACTATAACAAACATGATATCGAATGATTCTGCATATGACATCTTGTTTAACATGTTTTCTCTGCAAGTTAGAATATCCTATATAACATGTTGATACCTAATTTGATTTACTAAAATTACTGCCAATATAAAAATAGAGAATTAACAATCACTAACTTTGAAGTCTTCTTCTAAGTACTTATTAATGGTGGTATCTCTTGTGAAATCATGTACTAAAAACTATTTGAGAAGAAGGAGTTGAAAAGGGAGAAATTATGGTTCAACGAAGTGTTCGACCTACAACCCTTCGACGACAGAATAACCTATCCAAACTAAAGTTTGTTTTCTTGCGTATCTAAGCCGGGGATAATTGGCAATCATCCTCTCAACCTGAAGTTCTTCAAGTTCAAGGCTGGAAGCCGAAACTCCCTCGAACTCTGGTTGCGACGGGAGCTAACCATCATTTATCAAATTTAGTCAAGTGAAATTCAAACTTCTACTTGAACAGGTGATGAGTGATCCGAAAAGCGGCAAGGCTGGTGGATCCGAAGTAAAACCTCCCAAATTAGATGGAGTACTTTGAACACCCACCGAAAGAGAAGATACTCCAAGATCCCTCCTCATCTGCTGTATTTCCTCTTCCTTATTCATTGGATCTGTACAACCAACAAGGGAGACCTGAGAGGAAGATTAGTTCAAACAAAAAAATCAAGAAATATGAGATTTCCATGTCACTTACCAAAGATAGTTTTCATCTTTTGTGCAGAATAAAGTGGTGAGGGTTCCTAATATTTCCCGGTCCACCTAGTTGTCTGATGGATCTTTCTTCACCTTCCTAATCGTAGTTAATGCAATCTCCATAGTTAGAAGTGCTACGAATGAAATTCTGATGCTGACAAGATATGCTAAGTAAGCAAATTCGGACACAAATACTACCATAAGAAAACACCAACAAGAAAAGAAATCTCCAAAAAAACAAACAGAGATATCAAAGGTCCACTTTTCAAGAAACACTAGAAAATAGGGCAAACACAAGAGAAAAACGTTAGCTTTATCTTATAGAAGGTTGATTGATCAATCATGCATTTCAAGTGCCAACGAACAAGATCGTATGAACCTATCCAAAGATGGAACAAGGAAGCTCACGATAATGAATGTAAAGAAAAGCATAAAGGAATTCTTTGCAAGTCGCTAATGGCGGAAAAGGTCAAAATGACGCTTCAAAGGCCTCATATGAGCTATTCATACATTAAGGATTGTATGATCCACTGTGCACCACCAACAATTAGGATTTCATCAAAAATTGTTTGAATTAGTCAAGTACTCTAAGGAAGATGAAATATCATCGTCAACTAGCATACGGATACACATCACTCGTTCCTAACAAAATGTTACCGATATCGAAAAAGGCATTTAATGCGCTTGTTCCCAGTGACAATGACGTCCCATCAAAGGCCTTCACTTCCCCGAATCTATTGGCCAAATTGGAACACATATTGCAAACCCTCTTCTTGCAAAGAAAAGATAAGGGCTTGGGAGGCAACTGTTATTGGTCGATCACAAGGCCCAAGATAGAGAGACTCAATGACACAACAAAATCTTTCTAGCGTGCAAAACATGTGCAGTCTTTTCTCTCTAAAGATAGGCTATTCTGACCACCGGAGCCTTTTCGAATGTCCAGATCCATTTGACGATTGAGCCTCGCTCCACGCTTTCAATTGCCAACTATTTCTTCTATTTAAATAGGGGAAGCACATCATTCTTCAAGTACTCAAATTCATTTTAGTTCATATTTCACTTATCACTCTCTTACTGACTTGAGCATTTGAGTGTTAATTTTGTCGGTCATCCCTTTCTCCATTACATCGAAAGCTCAGGACCACCGCAATAAAGTCTACCTCCTCGTTTACCGAATAATTTTGGCTCCACCATAGTACACGTGCTATTTTGAATATTATAAGTATTATTCAATATTGCATAAATAGGTGGAGATTAAACAACAAAGTCATTGACATAGTTATTCCAAATGTTTCTCTAATTAACAATCTGACTATGGCCATTGTTTCATCTTCAGTTCATGATTTTATATGATTTTCAAGGCCTAACCGAGTCGAGTCGTTTGAGTCCGAGCGCAGAGATAGCAATTCTTGATGCTTACTTATGGAAATTTTAGAGTTGTTCCATTACACATCTCTTCCATTTCATTAAAGGTTAACAAAATTGACACACATAGAATAACCATACAAACTAGTCGTTAATAATCTACAAGACTTATGATACCAATACTAGTCCAGTTTTCATTATATATCTAACCAAACATAATGGATTTACTTTTTGCTTTCTTTTTAAGCACCAATCAATCAACCTTATTAATTTATTACACAAGAACAACAATTACATGTACTACAAACTTCTTGCTAATCTCTCTTGGGCAGCCATCTGTCTTCTAAACCTGATAATAAACTCCTCAGCTCGTTCATCAATTCCTTGCATTTGAGGTGAACCTAATGCCACTGACTCCCACACATCATCATCTGATGATGTACTAGTAGTTTTCTCACATCTCTTACTTGTTCCTTCTAGTTCCACCACTTCTTTCTTCTCTGAAGAATCCTTCGCAGCTATTTCGGGTCGTGGTTTGTAAACTGCTTGTGTCTGTGGTTTCAAATACCCTACATATTCACAAGGAGGCTCTTTGAAGAGTTTATCAATATAAACAGGTGCGGGCTTTTTGTTGAAGCTGGATAATATACTTCTAACCGTGGCTAACTTTTTGCGACGAAAACGTTTCGTAGCAAGAAACTTAGGTGGTGCCTTGGTAGTGGTGGTGATAGTTGTAGTTTTGGTGTTATTTTTGTTCTTTCTTTGTTTTTTCATGGCTTTAGATTTACGAATGTTGTGAAGTTTACTACCAAGTTTAGAAGTGAAGCTCTTCCACACCTTTTTAGCAGGTGGAAGTCTTAGACTTATCCAGGACATGGAAGGAGTTTGAAAGAAAGAAGAAAGGAAGAGAGAAATTGATGATTAAATTTGTAGGATGATGAAATTTTTGTGTGGAAGAAAACTTTGAGACACGTTCTTTATAACAATTGAGGTATTAGATTCGTTGTTCAATTGGGTGTGCTTTGAGGAGTGGCTTAGTTATTACGCTCGATATTTTGACTAAGGCTGCTAAATTCTCCATCAGATCAGATCAGCACCAATGAAATAGCTTAATTATTAAGCAAACACGGGATGTTAATGTTAAATTCTTGATTATTTGTCTAGGAATTATATTCATTAAGATTAAAATTAGTGGAATTGATTACATCATACGTTTATATCGGCTATATTATTTGTACATCCAATTTAAACATGTATTTGATATTGTATATTAATGTGTCTCCTTTCTGTCTTGTGGTAAGAACTTGTAAATTTGTTTTGTTCATAAAAGATGGGTGTTGATTCTCATAGATTCTTCGTGCGTGTTGTGGTATTTAAGTTTGAGATGAATATGAAAAGTCATCGTGTTTAGTATTGTTGCAAAAAGTTTTTTTTAAATACAGTTGTACACACACTTGCATGGGACAACCAGGAACTAGGTGTCAATGGTCTGGGTATCTCTTCCTTCCTCCAGGTTAACCATCAGCTCTGTGTATCTCCAAGAGCGAGTCACGGTGACGTTGAAGGCCTTCACGTCGAACCCTTCGTAGGGTCATGTTTTTCTTTCTTCAATCCCATTATCTCAGTACATAATATCGCAAGAATTTTCTCCATCGATCAGTATCAAGGATACATCGAAGTTGGAGATCGTAGTCGTGATGGCCAAAAGTAAGATTTTGTTGGAGATTCCTCCACATTTTTTCGCTGTCTCAGAATTTGAGGATAGGTTTCTTAGGATTCTTGGTAAGGGTACTCCCTTCCTTTTTGCTGAAGGCCATCAGTTCGACAGTCTTTCTCTTCATCGTACTCTTAGACAAATTGTTTTCTCTAGGGGTACCCATAATTATGGAAATAACATATTGACGCTTTCCCTTGAGCTCATCCTCTTCTCCATTGTTTGCTTCATTTCCTTTGCTCCAAGACATGACCTTAACAACTTTCATAAGGGACTGCTTACCTTTTGAAGACTTCTCCCAGCTCTTATTTTGTCTTTAGTGTACTTGGACATTCGTCCTTTATTGATCATTCCTTTGAATATGTTCTTCATCTGAATGCAATCGTTGGTGTTGTGACCATGACTCTTATAAAAATGGCAGTACTTGGATATGCAAGTCCGTGTAGACTCCTTGATCGGGTACAAATTCTTTATCATGGCCTCCTTGAACTCCGCATTTGCACACTCTTTTAGGATCTTCTCTCGTGAAGTGTTAAAAGGAGTGTACTGAAGGTAGAGAAAACACAAGAAATGGGGGGTTTGAATTGAGTTTATAGAAAACGTTCTCCTTTAGAAACTAAGAGCACTCAAATGATAATAACGATAAAGACAATGAAGAATAAAGGATACAAGGATTTATCCAGGTTCACCTTAAACAAGGTTAATCCTGTTCACCCCCTCAAGGATGATTTCTCCTTCACAAATGGCTTAATCCACTATAACCAACTGATCACAAATGTATGAGCAGCGATCAATGACTAACACACAATGACACGTTCAAGGTTCCCGCGGGATATAATATTCATTGACCCAATATAATCCGACCCCTCAAGATCTCCTATCAGGTTTTTCTACAATGACCAGCAGCCATTGTCTTCTTGAGATCAGACATTCACTCAGTTTCTCAAGGAACTTTCCAATGATGTTCAGTGATCCGATTTAACGAACATAACAATCATTGACCCAATAGAATCAGATCCATCAAGATCATCTATTAGGATTTCCTACAATGACCAGCAGTCAATGTCTTCTTGAGACCATACCTTCACTCAGTCTCTCAAGGAACTAACATCAACAGTTGATGAGGTTCTTGTGTTTACATGATTGCTTAATCTAAGCAGATTACACAAGTGTTTTAAGCACATATTATTTAACACATCTTTGAGCAACAACTCTAGTGTTAAAACAATTTACATGAACAAATTCGAACGAAAACACAATACGAGCAACAAATCTTGTATGCATTACAATGTTCTATCAAGATGTATATGATCAGAAGTTGAGTAACATCTTGTAGTGTTCTTCTTCTTCATCTTCTTGTTGAGCAAGTTACGAGCAACAACTCCTTGATTCTTCTAAGCTCTACCAAGATGTATTTGATTAGAAGTTGAATAACATCTTGTAGTCTTCTTATTTATCTTTCTTTTCTCTCATTTCTGTATAGTGGTGTTCAGAATGTTTAGCATTGAAGCTTTTACATCTTCAGCATCCACGAAGTTTAAGATTGATGACCAACATCTATTAGCATTTCAGCTTTGGCTTTAGTGTAGGCATCTACATGCTTTATTTAAATCTTTGATATTCTTGTATAGCCTTCAGAGAGAGACATTGTGAGGATAGAAAAGTCCTTTCATGCACCAACAGTTAGTTCCAACAGATAGAATAAGGTGTAAGAGTTAGATAGTATAAAATAATAGTTTATGTATCTTGTCACTGTTTAATGATAGCTTTTCACCTTTTATCTTTGAATAATATTTTTATAATAAGCTTGTAAATAAAGATCCGTTGAGTAAAGAAAAATAGATGGAAATCCAACTGTTTGTTCCCAACGGTCATAACAAGAGTGATTGATAATACAGTACGAAAGGAATATTCTTACGCCGCCCTAGAGGGTAGAGGTCAAAGACACTTTATGTACCTTTTGTACACCATCTCACGTTAACCATTTTGAACTTCTTCTTATCTTCAGAGGTTTCAGTAATTCAAATGTTGAAGCTTGTTATAGAAGAATCACTCTTAAGACTTAGAACCTAAGTCTTGGATTCTTCAGAACTTTCCCTATCAAAACTTTGTCTTCAGCACTTGGTTGTAAGAACTTGCTTGTCTTCAGATCATCAAAACTTGTTCACCAGAACCTCGTCTTCATAATCTTCAGAACTTGTAACACACGAAGTAAATCTTCAGAAGGCCTCCAAAGCTTAACCATAAAGTCACGATTAGAACCTCTTGTACTAACTTTCCTAAGACACGTTGCAGGAGACATATTCAGAATCTTGACTTCAACTGTAACACGTAACCACATGTTTTCTTCCAATAGTGTATGTTCAAAACCTGATGATGTCACACACCTTGATACTAGAATCAGAACATTACAGGAGCAAATACACACTGGAACAAACCATTAGCATATACAATTATTCGTAAAGATAACATATAAAGTTATCATCAAAATCTTAAGGCCAGATGTAGAACCACTTCTTGTTCTTACAATCTCCCCCTTTTTGATGATGACAAAACCATTTATTTTGATAGAACAATTTATACAGGGTAATCACCGTACTCGACAAATTCAGAGTTAAGCTCACGGCTCCCTCTGAATCTGTTAATCCCAAAATTTCACTTAAGCTTGTTTAGAGTCTCCCTCAGAGCCCAAGACTCACAAAATAAATTTTGAGTTATCAGAATATTGATATAGAGAAGTAACACTTCCTTATAAACATAAGTCGCAGAAGAACACTTATCAGAGCACAGCTTTTGAGTGACATCTATGTATGATAGCATGCATTAGAATGTTGACTTGTCTTCCTTTCAGGAAAGCACAACTTCTGGAGCTTTGAGTCTGAATTCCATACTTTCAGAAAGTCCACAACTTCTTAACACTATGATATCAAGCAAGATTACCTCACTTTCAGTAAGTCTATAACTTCTGAATTGTGTTCGGTACATCTGTTTGAATATTCATTTATTCACAAAGTGTACAACTTCTTAGATATGAGATTATAGTTGATTTCATCCATAAGGTTTTCAACCTTAGCATCAGGATCTTCATCTTCAACCTGTCTTAAGAATACTTGGTGAACTTATTCAAAGTTCCCAGATTGAAACATCAAACAAACGTTAATAGCAACATCATTATAAATATTATGAAAATCACTTTTCCTTTATCCACATTTGTTAGAAATCAAAAAGGTGAGGAAGGTGAGAAAGGTGAAAATAGAAGAAAACAGAAAATATATTTAGGAGAAAACATAAATCACACAGGTTAGACATAAAGAAATAAGAAGTCAACATATATTATCTGTAAGAGACCACAAATTGGAGAAAAGAAACACACATACAATAATCAGAAGACATAATGAAATATATTTAGAATACATAATCAAATTAGCTATTAATTTAACAGAAATGAATGGTAAGAATAAATGTAGATTAAGATATTAAGACAAAAAGATAAACTTTTAAGATACCCAACAATCAGACAAAACTAAATTAATCACAGGGGTTCAAAAAAGTTAAAAAAATCTTAAGTTCTAAGAAACTGCCTAATCCTAAGATTTCTTGTTAAACTTCTCCATGAATTGCTTCAACATTTCAGCCAACTGATTGAAAGAGGTTGTGCGAGCTAAACTTGTTTCCTATTGTCTTTCCAGATGCTCTTGGATAATCTGACTTTGATTCTTGCATCTTCTTCAAGGTTTCCTTTATCCCATAAATTTCCTTTTCAATATCCAAACCAGGTTTCACGCCAGAGCATGAGGGTTGGTTTTCGGCTGTTACTAATACAATATCAAAGGTATAGGAAGGGTGCACAACTTCTAAACTAAGAACCATTTGTCTTGTAGGTTTTGGAGCAGGAAACATAAGATAGGTGAAGATAAGGAGTCAAGCAGGTCTTTATATTTCCTTTTAGCTTCTTAAGAGCAGACAGATTGCATCATGTCTGAATTGACATCCATTATTCTTCTGAAGCTAATCCATGCAGTTCCAGTTTTAAATGGATCCATGCTGAAAGAAGAGATTCTCAAGATATTCTAAAGAGAGATTAGGGAAAGTTATTGAAAATTTTGGAAGAGTTCAGATGGGGTTAGTGGTCTGATTGAGGTTTGATAAAAGGCAGGATGCA